TGCTAAGTTGGAGAGTGATCACAGGCAATAGCAAAGAGAAGAAATGGGGCTGTAATATTAGTCCTTATTCCTCGAGATAACATGTAGTTTTGTCCCTCACTAGGCAAAGATTGATCAAAGGGCTGCGATACAGTTAGAGGCTTGGGACCAAGAGAATGGATCTGAAGCAGGTGTGGGCAAAGTGGGGAGAAGTCCGTTCCTCCAGCTATTTAACTTACTACATTTTCCAAAGCCTTTTACATCATTTATGTAACTCCATGAATATGAGGTGATCAGAGATATTACATCCATTTTACCAATAAGGATACTGTAGGCCAGACAGGGAACTAGATAGGCAGGCAGTGGGTGACATAAGGGCTTAGGGGGCATGCAGGAGGGTGCACAAAATGGCACAGAGCACTGTCAGCATGACCCTCTCCCATGTTTCTGGACAGGATCTGGTAGGAACAGGACTTTACAGTGTAGCTTTCTTCTTTGGCCCCTGGGGTCCCTTGGTTTGTTGCCTGACCCTTACCTGGAGGCAGAAATAGGACCAAAGCCAGTAAGTCCTGAGTACCTAGTAACTAGATTTGGACTTCCTTGCTCACTATCTGAGATGCCCATCTGCATGTCAGGTGATTTAGGAGATTACTGTACCCTTCCCCTTGTCTGATGTAGCAGTTCTCTCTGCTTACCATTCTTGATTTCTTTGACCACCACCCAAATCTCTCCTCTACTCTTAACACCATAATATTCTGACTTCTTCCTTAGCCCAACACCCATATCCTTGTGTACTTCACAAAACTGTTGTATTCTTTGGAAGTCCAGCTACATGACTGGAAAACTTCCTGTTTCCTTAGACTGTTCCTCTATTTCCTGTCCCTTGTATCTCCTGGCTTTAACTGTAACCTGGATTCTCCTTGAAGACACTGCTCCTCTTGCATATGTCTCAGATAAGGTCTGTTCCTCCCAAACTCTACAGTTCTTCAGGGTGCGGATGTGCCATTAGCATCACCTCAAGTACTTACCTCTCTTTATTTTTTACATCTGGACATTACATTTTTTACAACTGACTCCTCCAAACCATTATTCCTCTCTTCTAATTAGAAAATCTCAATCAATCAATCAATCAATCAATCAATAAAATCTCTTGCTCCTTAGAAGTTTTGCTACTCACCATTTCCCTGGCACTGTCAACTTCAGGGCACTGTCACCTTCAGATCTCCTGGTTACTCTTTTTTTTTTCTATGAAAACTTTGCACTTGTCTCAAAGTCTTAGTCTTGAGTCCATCATCTTTTTTTTTTTTTTAAAGATTTTACTTATTTGACAGAGAGAGAGTGAGCAAGAGAGAACGCAAGCAGGGGGAGGGGCAGAGGGAGACGGAAAAGCAGACTCCCTGCTCAGCGTGGAGTCTGACGTGATGCTCAATCCCAGAACCCTGGGATCATGACCTGAGCAGAAGGCAGATGCTCAACCAACTAAGCCAACCAGGTGCCCCTTGAGTCCATCATCTTGAGTGACTTCAGTGTCCAAGTAGATGATCCCATTCAATGTTCTGGGTTCTCCTTTCTTTGATTTCTTTATCAATAATGTCCACCACCTACATTCTACTTCAGTTGCTTATGGCCTTACCTGGTCTTTTCCATTACCCAAGAATTATCCTACTTCTGAAATCAAGTATTCAGACATTCCATTTTCTGACCACTACTTCCTGAACTTACAGTGTAATCATTCATTTGTTTCCACTTCGCTGGGGCCTACAACCACTGACTCTTACTTTCTTCTTATTAATTCCGATTCCCCTGTTATCTTTATTTCTCTCCTTACACACTTCAGAATCTATGATACATAATTTCAATGATTTTCTTACCATAGTTCTAAACTCTCTTGCCTTATCTTTTTATTGTGCTTTCCTGGGGGGAAAAAGCCCAATCTGGGTGATTCCAACAGTTTGGCTTCCTTGTGTTGTTGAATGCTGCTGGAAAAAAATTTTCATACAACCTGGAAGATTGATACTAAATAATATCCATAATATTCAATACCTATGAGAATGTTCATGGTGATATTGTTTATTAGAGTAAAAGAAAAATGGAAAACCACCTCAATGCTTATAAATAAGGACTTAGGTAAATTATGGTGCAGCCACACCATAGAATATGAAAAGGAAATGTCCAGATGTAAAAAATAAAGAGAGGTAAGTACTTGAGATGATTCTAATGGCAGTCTAGGATGGTGTGGGGTGTGGATTATTGATTTGTTAACTGCCAGGGCCTTGGGTTTTGCTGCTTATCTTGATGGAACTAAAACAACTATCTATCATCACAAAGAAATGGCAAGGTCTCTGACTGGGATCCGAATTTTAAAAAAAATTTTCTCTTGAGATATTGAAATCCTGTTCCTACCTCTTGCCCTGGTTTTGAGTCCAAAATGTGAACTATGTGATGTAGAAACCCAAAGCCACAAATTAAACTGGTTTCAGGTCAATGTTACCTCTGAGGTGTTAGATACAAAGTTTATCAGTCTGTAGGAACACTGCCATAGCCCAGGCCACAAGGAAAGATGAGTTTACAATCCAAAATTACAAAACACATGAGCAAACAGTTCACATGAGGATGGTCAGCAGAAATAACAAAGGGCATAGTTACACAAACACTTCACCAATAATTTCATGTAATTAAAGGCATAAAATAAGGACTTGATCTTCTAAAAAAATGCAAGATACTAAAGAACAGATGGCAAAACAAACAAACAAATAATAGAACCAACCCCAGAATGAAAAAATATAGTCATTGAGTGAAACTGTGAACATTAAAGATAAAGAGATCTTAAAAGCAGTAAGGGAGAATAGACAGGTTATCCATAAAGGAATTAAACTCAAAGCAGAAATCTTAAACAATGAAAAACAGAAGACAGTGCAATGTTATTTTCTAAGTACCAAGAGGAAATAACTATTAATCTAGACTTTTATTCCCAGCCAAATTATCATTCAAGACTGAGTGCTAAATAAAGACATGGCCATCATTTAAGACCCAGTGCTGAATAAAGAGAATTTACCACTAATAAACTCTTATTTAAGAAAAAAAACAACAACAACAAAGGATAAGAAATTTTGATCCCAGGAAGTAGGAAATGCAAGAAGTAAGGCCGGCGCAGGGGACCACGAACTAGGATTGGTAAGTAGGAAGCCTTCCACTAGTGACTGCAAAACTTGTTGCAGCATGCTTGCAGATTGCTGGCAGTCCCCCTGGCTGTAGGAGTTAGAAGAACAGAAGCACACTAGAAACAGAAAGGAAAGCCCCTTCCTCCTGGGTGAACCTCTTGGTGCCATCTACTGACACTGTTTAACATTACAACCTGTCAGCTGGTAAAGGAGAAATGTTTCAGGGTCCAGGTCCAGGAGCACACAATGCGGAGTGATTTTTGAGCCAACAGGCAATACACTGGTAACTGGCATGGCAATGAAGGAACAAAGAAACTGGTAAACATAGGCAAATCTAAACAAGCACCATGTGACTAAAATAAGAATAGCAAAAACGAATTTGGGAGATGCAGAGGAAGTCTGGCAGGCTGGTCTAGGGGTGCTCCTAACTGTACATGCTGAGGGTCTGCTGCACCCTGGCTCTCCCTCAAAGCTGTTGATTTTGGTGGTGAGGATGCTCTGGGAGGGGCCCTGGAAAGCCATCAGGTAACAGGACCTTCACCATAAGTGAAGCAAAACCAGAGAGATCTCCAAGGAGAAATGGACAAATCCACAATCATTTTTGGAAATCTCAATACTCTTTTCTCAATCATCAGTAAGACAAATAGATGCAAAATCCAGATATATAGCAGACTTCAACAACATTAGCAAACAACTTGAGCTAATTGACATTTATAAAACACTCCATCCAACAACAGCAGAATAAACATTTCTTTCAAGCACATAGGGGATATTTGACCAATACAGTGTATATTCTGTGCTAGTAAACAAGTCTCAGTAAACTGAAAAGTATTCAAGTCATAGAGAGTGTGTCCTCTGGCCACAGTGAAATTAAATTAGGAATCAGTAACAAAGATTTCTAGAGAATCTACAAATATCTGGAAACTAAATAACAGACTTCTAAATAACCCATGGACTGAAGAAGAAATAAACAAGGAAAATTAGAAGTATTTTGAACTGGATGAAAATGAAAACACAACATACCAACATTTTCTCTTTTATGGAGAAAATTTTCAAGGCACTATCAGTAGAAGCAATGAGAACGGATACTGGCCAGAAAAATCAGACGGCCAGCATACTCTGTGACACCAATTTTAGCAATCACTCCTAAGGAATCAGTCCAAGAATGAAGAATTCTGCACGTGTAAAAATGTTCATTTCAGTATTGTTTATAAAAGAAAGTTTTGTCAAACTGTGTATGTTATCATGCATTCACCTGAGATATGTTGGATGTGGCACAACTTGGAACAATGTATGGGATATAACATGAAGTGGGAAAAAAAAGCGATTTACAAAAGGACCAGCATACAATGAATACAGATCCTATACTTGGTAAGATAATGGAAGAAAGAAAACCATGAAAAAGAAGATGCCATTGATTTTAGAGAAGTGGGATTATGGCTGATTCCTATTCTTTATCTTCCCAACTTTCAGCAGTGCAGTCATAACATGATGTTGACTGGGGTTTTTCCTGTTACATTAAAAGTTTGGCTAAAGTTCCACTTTCTCAAAGAGCCTCAATGAGTTGCTAGACATAAAGCAGTCCTGTGATCATCACCCATCATCACACACTGGTAGACTACATGGAAAGACTTGAAACATGAAAGGGAGATTCATTACATAGGAGAGCGCGTGTAGGCTTTGTGCTAGGGGAGAGTAATGTACGAGGGGAGTGGGTACTCCCTGGCCCCTCACGGATCATGTGGGGAAAGCTCTAAGAGAATGGGTCAGAGGGGCCACAGAGAGAGATCTGTGCTGAGCTGTAGCAACTCTAGGCCTCCTCCCTACCCTGACCCCAGACTGCAGTTGGACAGGTGCACCATGGGCGACTGGGAGATTGACATGGGTCCCGTCCCTGGAGTTTGGAGGATGAGTGAGACTGGTGCCTCCTTCCCAGCTGGGGAGTACTTAAGGCAAGAGGCAGACCAGAGAGGTCCCCAAAGGCAGGAAGAGGAGCTGGCAGCAGTAAAGCCTGCACTGCTATTTGGGGTTGCAAGGATGTGTGTGTTTACCATGGGCCAGTTGGATGCTGCATGTACATCCTGCCAGTTGAGATAATGATATAAAACTTGACCTTGCTCCTTGGTCTCTGCCTTTGTGGATGTTATACTCTGAGGGACAAGCAGATAGTAATCAAAGAATCATACACATAAATACAAATCTAGTTGTTAGAAGTACTAACATGGAAGGTACATGGTGTTACAAGAACACTTAACAGGGACATTAGTCTAGTCAGAGAGGTCTGGGAAGGTTTCCTCAAGGAAGTTATGTATGAGATTCCCAAAGTAGGAGTTAACAAGAGGAACTTTAGGGGGAGGGTTGAGGGCATTTCCAGGAGGAGAGAACAACATACACCAACTTCCTAACACCAGCAGGAGCATTGGCGCATGCAAGCAACAGAAGGAAAGCTAGTTGGGCAGAAAGCGAGGGGGAGCATGTGAAGAGGTGCAGAATCAAACTGTGGGCCTTGGAATTCGTTCTTTATCTTAAGAGCCCTGGAAAGTTATTAAACTATTTAAAGCTGGGGACGATCTTCCAAGACTCATATTTTGAATGGATCTTTCTGGCTACAGTGTGGAGAACAAATCATCAGGTGAATATGTGCAGGTATAGACATCTTTCATTAATTTTCCCTAGAATATAGTGGGGCATTTTGATCTTCAGAGAATTTCTTTTGAGATTCAGAAAGGTTTCTGATATACTTTTGGATACTGCCTCTGATCCATTTAGTGTTTTCTTCTTTAGAAATTCTTTAATACTTGCAGTGGATCTTTGCAACTCACCTTCATTCAGTAATCATTGTAATTTTGTTTCTTTCCCCCTGTATTCTGTGAATATTTACATTTTTGTGCAAGGTCCATTGTTCCATTTACTGTTTCCAGTTCAGGCTATATTTGACTACTGTGTTCAATTCATTTTATTGGACTTAATGCCTTCTTATCTCAGTCTGTTATCTTCACGTGGCCTGCTTTGTCCTCTTGTACCTGACTGAAATCACAGAACAGCTATTTTAAAATATTTCTCTTTTCTTCTTTTTTCAAATAAAGGCGTATTCTCCAAAGCTCCAGGACGCTGCTCTTTTCTCATGAGCTGCAGATACCCTATCACAGCGCTGGCTTCCTGGGAAGCATCAAGCATCAAGAACTCATGGAACTCATGGCCTTGACGGACTGACGGACTGGTGGAGCTAGTGAGGTTGGAGCATGATAACGGGATGATGACGATACTGATGTTGGTGGTGGAGAGATGCTGAGTTGGGTGATAATACTGAGGGCAGTAATGCACTAGGGAAAGGGTGATAATTTGGGAGTGATGGCAAATAAACACAAGGTGAACCCTAGCGGGGTGATGTGGTTGTGGTGATGTAAAGTCTGATGGACGTGACAGGTGATGGTGGTGGTGAAGGTGAAGGTGCAAGCATATGTTCGTGTACACACTTGGGGTAAAGTCAGGTAAAAGAAAGCAAGTTTCTTCAGACGCCCCTGAGGGACACTGGGTCACTCGTGATCTTCCTGAGTAGCTGCTGCTGTTCGCCCAGCTGTCTAACAAGCTGAAGTTCTTAATGATGCTCCTTCCATATTCTTAGACACGGAATTTAACAAGCCCCCCCAGGACTTCTCACTTCAGAGCAACTCCGCTGTGGCTTAGTTGGGCCATAGCCAGCCAGGACCTCTTGGGGTAAAGGGACCCAGGAATGGCTCCCATTAACTGGGGAACAAACTTGAAGACTCACAGCAGGGGTTGGGGGGAGGAGGAAAAGTGATCAAGACATTTACTTCTGGCTTAATTGAGCTGAGAAAAGTGTAGCTCTGTATAACCGACAATTCTTGTATCCTCCTGGGAAGCGTCAAGCTAATGCAGAGCTGGCGGGGAATTCTCAGTAGCTCAAAGCCTGGGGCCGGGGATGACTCTTGGGAAGCCACATGAGCAGTCCCAAGGCGGGCTCCCGATTCAGCTGGTGGATGCTGCCTGAGAAGTTTTTCTCCGCCTTGAACTAGCCTTGACGCGTAAGTCGGTCACCGAAGATCAGCGCTATTAGGAGCCTCGAAGCTGACAGTGATAGCCCAATTACACCAGAAACCCCGAAGGTGCTTTTACTGCCATTTGTAACTTCCCTTTATTTTTCTCTAGTTATACAAATGACCATTAATACAGTTATTATAAACATTGAACCAATACAGATAAGTAAAAGTCCCCTTTGATTCTCTCTTCAAGGCTAGTCCCCTTAAATCTGCAAAAATCAAAACACACAGTAAAGATATAGTCTTAACAATGTTATTATAATAATTTTGACAATTTTGGTGAACTGGATAACTGAACTAAAAGATGTATTAAAGGAATAAAGAAGAATATATGACCACATGCATAGTTGCAGAAGAAAAACATTTACTAAAACTCTAATACTTCTTTTCTCCAAGCTTTATGGAAGTGTGACTGACAAACATTGTATAGGTTTAAAGGGTACCATGCGATGTTCTGATAATATGCATACATTGTAAAATGATTACCATAGTCGAGCTAGTTCTCTTCTAGTTCAATCAAGCGCTTCTAGTTTCTTAAGGTGAATGAGATGATTTGAGATCTTTCTTATTTTTAAATAAGCACCTTTTTTTGGTCTTTTTTTTTTGCATTCTATGAATTTTTGGCATGTTGTGTTTTTGTGTTCATTCATGTCAAATATCTTCTCCTTTCCCCTGTGATTTCCCCTATGATTTCTCCTTTGACCTATTGGTTATGTAAGAGCATGTTACTGAATTTCCACATATTGAAACTGAATCCCAGTAGTGTACAAAAACTTCACACCTCTGTGCCTTCGTTCCCTCCTCAGAGCCCTCACCAGACATGCAGGACTCCCAAGAACAACAATGGGAGTGAATGTAACAGGAGGGTAGACAGGGTCAAGTAGTCATGGCTGCCTTCCTGAGGGAGGTGGAGCTGAAATTTAGGGCAGACTTGAAGACCTAAGGGGAGAGGATCTTCATAAGGTGCAAATGAGGGAGAATAATAAATGTACAGATGACTTACTGTATAGCAGGCACAGTCTTAAAAGCTTTATACTTGTTTAACTCATTTTGTCTTCCCTACAATCTTCCCTACGAAGCAGGTTCTAGTTTACTGATAAAAGGCCTGGAGGCCTGGAAAGGTTTTTGAAACTTGCCCAAAGTCACAGCTGGTAACTCTGAAACCAGGGATCCAACGCATGCATTCCGGTGCTAACTCAGAGGAAATATACAGCCCGGGAGGACGTGGACCTCTGGGGAGCAGTCAGGGCTTCGGTCAGAGGGTTCACTGTACCCGACCTTGAGTCCCAGGTGTTGGAGTTTAGACCTGATGCTCAGTTCCTGGGGATTTCAAAGGCACAGGGAGTTCATTGGAAGACATCGGATTTGTCCCCCTGGGAATCAGGGCCCCCAGGAGCACAGTTTCAAAGGAGAGCGCCTCAGACCTGGGACCCATCCCTCATACAGAACCCGACAACAGGTAAGAGTGGTGGGAGTGGGGACAGTGGCCCGTGGCTTGAGTGTCTTCTCTGAGTCATCCCTTCTTTGCCTGCTCTGGTTCGCTCTACTGTCTACAAATCTGCACATATGCAAGTTCCTTCGTGCCTGTGCTCCTTGCTCTGTCCTTTCCTTTGTCTGCCTCTTCTTCCCCAACTCTCTGACTTGCTCTCCATCCAACTACCTTTCTTTTCCCTCTTTGTCTCTATCTGACTTAGTGTGCACATCTCCCTTAAGACATCTGGCCTTCAGTTGCCAATGAAGAGAAGGAGGGACTGCTGCTGGGGAGGCTGAGGCAGCCGGGCTCTCCCATGTCCCTGTCCTAATCAGGGGGACCCTTGGAAGTGGGCAAGACAAGGGATGCAGATGGAAGGTGGGGAAGGCTGATAGGACAGCACTAGGATATGGGAGAGAAGGAGGGGGTTGCTGCAAGGAGATCTCAGGGCGGCAGGGATTTGGACCACCTTGGGACCTGCTCTAAAAATCTCTTATTGAGGAGGAGGGAGCAAGGCAGATGCCTCCTGCCAAGATACCTATAGTTCAGAGGACGCTCTCTGTCATAGTTGTCAGGAAGTGTGGGGCTGATTGTGCTTCTGGAGCTTATTCCCCATTCGAATTCCCTCTGTTTTTCTTCTATGCACCCAGTGCTCTTTCCCACATACATTCTGCATCAGTAGAATGAGCAGACAAATGCCATGGTGAAAATGCTCTTTTATTTAGATTGCTCCTAGAAAATGCTCTAGGACTGAGTGAGTGGATGGGACTGAGGGTTGGGAGTCACAGTGAGAGGCTGCTACAGTGCTCCAGGTATTAGGCATCAAGAAAAAGTCAAGTTAGATAAAGAGAGGACGGAGAAGATGGGAAAGTCCTTAACTCTTCCAGGGAGAATGGACCTCAGCAGCCCTCCTGCTCCACCTCTCAGTCTGGGTTGATCCCACTGCGTCTCTGACATATGGTCAGCTAGATTGAGCCTGAACCTCTCAACAAAAACAGGGAGCTCATTTCTTCTCAGGACAGTCCTTTCTGTCTATGAACATCTCAATCTGAAGCTTGGCATCCTGGTAAAATTTATACTAATTTTAAATTTGGGACTATGCAGAGCAATTCTTACCCATCTTCCTTAATACAGCCCTTTAGGTACTTCTGTAGACAGACTTCAGCATCCTCCTTAACTTCAATTTCTGCAGGGAAAACATCACCAGTTGCTTAGATTTATTTCTTTACCATCACAATATATCTTCCCACAAGCCACAATTTGTCCACACACCTCCTTATTAAGGCATGGGTCACAGGTGTAAATTCTACCTTCCAAAGGAAATTTGGAATTTGCTCCACTGGAGAGGACAGGCATCAATCACCTCTATTTATCCTGCCAACATAGCTTCTAGGATGGAGTCCAAGACTGGCATCCCTGCTTTAACAATTTAATAAATATTAATTGAGTTCCTACCAAGTGCTTGGCACAATGATGGACGCTGGAGATATACTAGTGAACAAAACAAAAGTCTCTGCTCTTACAACCTACTTGGGGGCAACAGACAATCATCAGATGAGATCAGATAAGTTTTTGAGAAGTGAGAAGTACAATAATGAAAAGTAAAGCTGACTAAAATATGCATTTTTGACTTAGTATAACCTCACCTAAATTGCCATTTCCCAAACAATGCAAAATCTAACAACGGTTTACATCCGTTTTCTTTTCCTGCTCTTTGGATGGTTTTTGTCATATACTCAGCTTCTACGTGTATATTTAAAGTTCCAGTAATGTGTTGCTATTTTTGTTGCTTTAAACGATATTCTATGATATTTGCCCACACATTTGTGATTTCTGGTGTTCTATTTTTTCTCTCAATTACACATTTCCATCAGGGATCATTTTCCTTTAGCCTAAAGCAGTTCTTTAATATTTCTTTTACTGTGAGTCTTTTAGTAATTTATCCGTTTTTTTGGAGAGCAAACAGCTTTTATTTCTTAAGGATATATTTATTGAGTATAGTATCCTAGCATGGTAGTTTCTTTCCCTCCTTCCCTCCCTCGTTTCCTTCTTTTCCTTTCCTTCTCTCTCTCTGTCTCTGTCTCATGTATTACCCACCTCTGGTCAATGGAAACACACGACTTTGACTTTTCATGGAGTATAATTTATTTCCAAATAATAGTTGTTTTCTGGATTGAATCATATATCTAATAACTATGTCTCTAAAATTCCAGAGTACCTCTCAAGCTATTCAGGTAGTCCCACTGAAGCCCATTTTGATAAGAGCTTCAAAGGAGGGGCAGAAATCTTCATTTGTATGAAACTCACAACAGATGCTAGATCCTCAAATGTCCAATTATTTTCTTGACCACTTGGAAATCCTTTATAAGCTACATGAATTGTGCAAGTTCATGAATTGCAGGACACAGTTTTGGACACTCCTTTTGCAAGTTCTACATTTTGAAATGTGAAATTTATTATCTGTGGTCTCAGAATAAGCTGGGATTAAGTAATACAATATACATGCTGTTTCATATAAAATGAAAATTCTTTAAAAAATCTGGTCCCCAGTTTTGTGGGTGTCCTAATATGCACTTACTTTGCTACTGATATTTGGCGCTTTTTTTTTAAAAGATTTATTTATTTATTTTAGAGAGAGAGAGTGTGTGAGAGCAGGGGTTGGGGGAGGGGCAGAGTGAGAGGGAGAGAGAATCTCAAGTGGACTCCTTGCTGAGATGAGCATGGAGCCCAATGCAGGGCTTCATCTCAAGACCCTGAGATCATGACTTAAGCTGAAACCAAGAGTTGGATGCTTGACTGACTGAGCCACCCAGGTGCCCTGATATTTGGCATTTCTAATAAAAGAGTAGCATCAGGGTTTGAATCTGGAGACTTTATTTTATAAATTATTATTGCTCTATTCTTTCTCTATACCAGGAGAAGGAGGCAAGACTTGCTCTGGGGAAACCATAGCTCTCTTACTGAGTTTATTCTTTTAGGATTCTCTCGTAACAAAGAAATAAATGTTATTGTATTCAGTGTCTTCCTCTTCCTCTACCTCATCACCCTTTTGGGCAATGGGCTCGTTATCACCTTGATACGCATGGATTCCCACCTCCACACACCCATGTACTTTTTCTTCAGTGTCCTATGCATTATGGATATGGGCTATGTCACCACCACAGTGCCCCAGATGCTGGTACACCTGGTTTCCAAGAAGAAGACCATCTCCTACATTGGATGCGTGACCCAGATGTACATCTTCTTGATGCTAGGAATCACTGAATCTTGGCTTTTTGCAATCATGGCTTATGACAGGTATGTGGCCATTTGCCATCCCCTGAGGTATAAAGTCATCATGAGTACTTTGCTATGTGGGTCAATGGTGGCCTTCTGTGGATTCTGGGGTATCAGCTGTGCCCTGATATACACTGTCTCTGTTATGATTCTTCCCTATTGTGGTCCCAATGAGATCAATCACTTCTTCTGTGAAGTACCTGCAGTCTTAAAGTTAGCCTGTGCAGACACATCTCTCAATTATCAGGTAGACTTCATCTTGGGCTTCATCCTTCTGTTGGTTCCACTCTCCCTAATCATCATTGTGTATATCAATATTTTTGCTGCCATCTTAAGGATTCGCTCAGCCCAAGGGCAGCTCAAGGCCTTTTCCACCTGTGCTTCCCACATCACTATGGTCACTATGTTCTCCATACCATGTATGGTTATGTACATGAGACCTGGTTCTGAGTCTTCCCCAGAAGAGGACAAGAAGTTGGCTCTATTCTACAATATCATCTCTGCTTTCCTCAACCCCATCATCTATAGTCTTAGGAACAAAGATGTGAAGAGAGCTTTCCTTAAAGTGACAGGCTGGGGCAAAGCACCAGAATGAAGTCACAGAAGCATGGGCACCAGCAACAAACCTGGGACACAGCCTACATGACTTTTCCATCCAAATTCTTTCCAACATCCAGTGGGCACATATGATATATTAATGGATTAGACTCAGTAAGATCATATATGAGAACACCCAGAAGGTTATGGCAGTAGGTTTCCCTCAAGCATAAAGACGCCAGACAGGGGACTCCATGAAGGCACACCTATATTCAATTCATTTCTGTATCACCAGTTTACAAGACCTGGCATAGAATTGGCATCAATATTCATGTTTTCAACTATTGAATGAACATGAACGTGAGTGCTTGAGCTCTGGACTCATGAAATAAGTTCAAATTGATGGGCATAAGATGACTTCCAGCCTCCTAGGTCAGTGACACCATTGTAGCTCAGTCAGGAATTTGACAAGTTCTGAAGACAGAATAATTTAAGAAAATCAATGGTGATCATATAAAATAGGGTTCAGGAAAATAATACAGATCACTCTTCATTCAGTACTATTAGAAAGTATGAATTTAGGGCACATAAGCCCTCATGCCACTAAAGGAAGGAGCTGTGTCTCAGTAAAGTGATATTTGAAGGGGGAAATAAAATCTCCTAGCAATTGGGAAAATCTCCCACCCAGACACTTTCATAATGTATTCTCAACTCTACTGAAGTACATTGACATATACATATATACTTGTGAAAACATCACCATAATCAAGATCATTCTCATCACCCTCCTCCAAAGTTTACTTGTGACTCTTTGCAGTTCCCTTGTATTAGTTGCCTATCAGTGTGTAACAAATTACCCCCAATTTTTGAGGCTTAAAACAACAAACATTTATTTTTTTGCAGTTTTTGTGGGTTAAGAATCTGAGTGAAGTTTAGCTGGATCCTCTGGATTGGGGGGGTGGTCTCACAAGGCTGCAATCAAGGCACCAGCTACAGAAATCCTAACACTTGAATGGGGAAGGATCTTTTTCCAAGCTCACCTGATTGTCACCAGGATTTACTTCCTGGCTCTTGGATTGAGAGTCTCATTTTCTTCCTGACAGTTGTACAAAGCATTTATCAGTTTCTCCCCTGTGGGCCTTTCCTTAGAGCAGCTCACCACCTGGCAGTTGGCTTCATCAGAGAGGTTGTGAGCAGGAAGGAGCAAGGGTGTTTTGTAAACTAAATTTGAAAGTGATTTCCCATCACTTTTGGGGTATTCATGAGAAGCACACTACTAGGTTCAGCCCAAACTCAAGGGGAAGGGATTACCCAAGGGCATGATTACCTGAGTGCTGGGGTTATTGATTCAAGCACAGCTTCTCTCTTGAGATTTAGACCCTTGCTTACCAAGGAGTGGTCTGGGGATTAGCATCACCAGCATCATTCAGGAGTTAAGAAATGCAGAAGCCATTCTTCCTCCCACTTGGTTTAGAAAGAGTGGCCAGGAGGCAATCTCAACTTCTAATTCATCAGAACCATAGATCTCCTCTGTAATGAACAAATTTTTCCTTTGAGCACAAATTCAAAATTGTAGAGAAAGGAAGCAAAAATTTCTCTGGAGAGCTATTTCATATACTGGTGAGAGGGACAACTCCTGTTGCATCTCCTGGCTCCTGGATCTGTGCCTTCTCTTTCAGAGGAAGAGGGTACCATATAGTGACTACTGGTGTAAGTCACAAAGTGCATTCTATAGGACAGCAGTACAATCTTACAAAATGTTGTCTCCCAGATGGCATGATAATTGAAACTTAAATCAGTAATTCCACAACCCTGTTAGGCCCAGGAGTTTCTGAGTATTTGGGCACAATGGGAGACCACTGAATTCTGTGAGTGAGTTGACTGTCACACTTTTTTTTGGAGATAAAGTGTGTCTCCTGATTGGAGATGATGCTGCATGGGATACTATGGCAATGGATAACACACTCTGTAAGACCATTAATGGTGAGTTGTCAGAGATGCTTCAGGCAGGAAACCTGAATATGTGTCTATCCCTGGAACTACAGACTGCAACCCCTTCATGATGGAAAGTGTCTAATGTAATTATGTGTCACCAGGTAACTGGCAGCTCCCTCAGGGAATGGTACCACATCAAAGGCTCAGCATCTGTCTCTGCAGCTGGGGTCTGGCACATAGCAGTGGCAATGGCCAACTCAGCCTTGGTGAGGCTGACTCCATGTGGCTGAGTCCTCACATAGCCTCTGTCATGCTACAATGGCTGCTGTGTGTGGTTCGGGAAAGAGGCTGACCAATCTACAGGTGGATCATCTAGTCCAGCTGATTATAGAGAGACACCCCCACCTCGCCCCCGTAGTGGATGCTCACTGTGCATATTTATGTAGCACATGATTATCTTCATATTCTGGGTCTGAGAGAGGCACATCTACATGATGTCCTCTAGACCCCATGTCATTAATCCTCCAATCTTTTTCTTTCCAAGTTTCTGGCCACCCTTCCATCCCATTAGCAACTGCCCACAAAATAGTAGATAGCCACACTTGAGGGCATCTCTCATTCCATAGATACCAGTCAGATATACCGTCTAAAATTCTACTCATGGAAACAATTTTCTTTTACCATACTCAGTGCTGCCTTAAACTAGGCCTTTCCCTCCTCTGTTAACTAGATATAGGGCATTCCCCATGTGGGTTGAAGGAGAGGCAGCAAAGTAGAAGCAAGAACCATGGGAGACTTGCTGAATACTTATGAAGCTCACCACCTAGACCTCAGATTGTATATACAATTTCCATTTTAGAATAGAATTCTGTGTGTGTCCAATTGGATGGTTCCATGGATATGATAACAGTTTATGATGGGCTATTTTGTTTGCCTAGTCATGTGGTGACCCATAGTTAAGCTTTCAGTTTCTACCAGAACATAGGAGCTATTAAAAAAAATTCTTATTTTGAAATAATTTACAATTCACAAGAAGCTGCAAAAAATAGTAAATTGAGCTCTTGGGTACCCTTGATCCAGCTGTCCCACAATGATGATGTCTATAACTATAGTACATTATCATATCCAGTAAACTGACATCAGACAATGCTAATAAGTAAACTACAGACATTATTAGAATTTCACCATTTATTACCTGTACTCATTTTTGGTGATATATGGTCTTATGAAATTTTATTAAATTCATAGTTTCATGTAACCACAATAAGGATACAAAACTGTTCCATGACCGCAAAGAAATCTGGCACGGATGGTCACTGGTCTGTTCTTCTGGCCCTTTAATTTTGAAAATGTTACACAAATGGAATCATGCAGTATGTAACTTTTAAGGCTAATTATTTTTAAAACCCAGCCTAATGCCTTTGAGATCCATCTGGATTGTTGCATACATCAATAGTTTGTTCCTTTATATTGCTGAGTAGTATTCTCTCGAATGGAGATACCAGAGTTTATCCATTCACCTGTTGAAGCACATTTGCATTGTTTCTAGTTCTGGGCTATTATGATTAAATTTGCTATGAGTATTTGTGTAAAGTTAAAAATAATAAGTTATTTTTCCCTAGAATAAATTCCCAGGAATGTGATTGCTGGGGTCATATGATATGTGTATGCTTAGAACAATATTCTTACTCAAATCACAATGACATACCACCTCATACTTATTGGGATGACTATAATTTAAAAAACTACATTAACAAGTATTGATGAGGATGTGGAGGAATCAGAACTCTTACACATTGCTGATAAGAATGCAAAATGGTACTGTTGCTTTGGGAAGTAGTATGACAGTTCTTTAAAATGTTAAACATAGAGTTATCATATGATCTGTCAATTCCACTCCCAGATACATATCTAAGAGAAATGAAAACATATATGTTTAACAAAAACTGGTATATGAATATTCCTAGCAGCATTCTTCACTGTAGCCAAAAAGTGGAATCAACTCAAATGTCTATCAGCTGAATGGGTAAATAAAATGTGGTCTGTCCATACAATGAAATACTACTTTGCAATAAAAAGGGATGAACATTGCTGCTATGAGTATTGGCATACATGTGCCCTTTCTTTTCACTACATCTGTATCTTTGGGGTAAATACCTAGTAGTGCAATTCCTGGGTCATAGGGTAGCTCTATTCTTAACATCTTGAGGAACCTCAACACTACATCAAAAACTAATGATGTACTATACAGTGGCTAACTGAACATAATGAACAGTTGATACAAGCTAAATGGATGATCCTTGAAATCAGTGAGAAAAGCCAGTCAGAAAAGTCTGCATATTATACAGTTCCATTTATATAACATGTCTAGAACAAGCAAATCTACAGACAAAAAGTAAATTAATAGTAGTTGGGTAGACCAGGGGATAAGAGCGGGAGATAAGGAGTGATTGTTAATGGGTATGGGGTTTCTTTTGGGGGTGATGAAAATGTTCTTAAATTGGATTGTGGTGATAGTTACACAATCCTGTGAATATACTAAAAACCATTGAATTTGCATAGTTCAAGTGCATGAGTTTTATGGTATGTAAATTATATCTCAATACAGCTGTTTTTTAAAAAAGCACGTACCAAAATGTTTTACAGAAATGCTGTACAATTTTACATTCCCACTAGCTATGTATGAGAGATCCATTTACTCTGCATCCTTTCCAGCATTGAGTGTGGTCAGTATTTTTTATGTAAGCCAATATAACAGACTCAGTTGTGTAAGAGTGGAGTGACAGATCCCCATGGCTGTAATTTGCATGTGATTAATAGCTTGTGATGTTGGGGAGTGCTTGGGTGGCTCAGTCTGTTAAGTGTCTGCCTTCGGCTCAGGTCATGATCTCAGAGTCCTGGGATCGAGCCCCCGCTCTGCACTCAGCAGGGAGTCTGCGTCTCCTTCACCCTCTGCCCCTCCCCTGCTGGTGCTCTCTGTCTCTCTCTCTCTCTAAAATAAATAAATAAAGTCTTAAAAAAAAAACTGAAATATGGCTGGCTGCATAAAAATTTTTTTTTCTGCAATGCTCTAGCATTTGGGAAAGTTCTGGCTTTCCCAGAACTTTGGGAAGGTTCTGGCTGCCATACAATCAGGATCTGGAACTGATCACTAGTACTTGGTTGTGCAAAATATGAATGTGTTTGAAAAAAAAAGTGGGTATGAACCAATGAGATTTTCCACTTATAATAATATTATTCCCCTATTTGTTGGTTGACTTGAGCTAATTCTAGTGATGATAATGAGCACTGTAGCAGAACAGACCAAGATTAGGATTGAGTGGCAACCACCACGTACAAAACTTTGTAGGAAGTGGTGAAGAGGTCTTTAGGTGGACATTTACAGCTCTACACATATTTATTACAAAATGAGAGGGCACCTGGGTAGCTCAGTCGGTTAAGCATCTGCCTTTGGCTCAGGTCATAATCCCGGAGTCCCAGGATGGAGTCCCGCTTTGAGGGGGGGGGTCCCTGCTCAGCAGGGAGTCTGCTACCCCCTCTGACCCTCCCCCCCTCATGCTTTCTGTCTGTCTCTCTCTCAAATAAATAAATAAAATTTTTTAAAAAATGAGAAAGACTGAAAATACTGAGCTAGTCATTCCACTCAAGAGGATAGGCTAGAGTAAACAGAAAGAAAGCAGGAGGGAAATCATAAAGACAAAAGCGGAAATCGATTTGTAGAAGGTTAACAAAGCCAAAATCTGTGTCTTTGAAAATGCAAAACAGATGCTCCTCTGGCAAAATTGTTCAAAGAATAAACGGAGAAGAAAGATACATTTAAAGAATTTAAAGGGGATACAGAGCTACATATACGGCAAACTTAAAAAAAAAAAAACCAACTTGATGACAGTAAACTTTAAAATCTGGATAAAATGGACAAGTTTCAAGAAAAATGTAAATTGCCAATATTCACTGAAGCAGAACTAGGAAATGGAAATAGGAAATCACCAGACACTCTTTGGGGGAGGGGTTAGTTTGCATGTCACAACTGCGGACACAGACCTCTGGACAGAGAGATATGAGATACTCTCCATGGAACTCACTGAGGTGGGTCCGTGGGGAAGCTTGTTCCAAAAATGGAAGAGGTTTGCCCTGTGTGGAAAAAAATGAGTTGTCTGTAACAATGCTAGAGACTCTATCAAGGCACACTGTGTGTCCGTGTTCACTGGGATGTTCTGGGCGTCCATGATTCCATCCCTGCTGTGTGGGTGTGAGGGAGGGGGTTCATCGAGTGGATGGGGTCCTTGAAAGCCACTACTTGCCAGATGTCTGGATATATCATGCTTGGGGGTGAGATTAAATTGGAGCGAGAGGGGAGCAAGAGGATGAGTTGAAAACAGACAAGTAAGCTGCCCTGGTTAGTTTATTAATTCGTTAATTTGAAAAGGTGGGGAGTGTGTGTGTGTGTGTGTACAGAAGTATTACTCAGTGGCCCTCTCTCCTACTCTAAGCTTTAATGTCTGACTTCAAGGACAAAAAGGTATTTATGACTGTTAATGTTGTGATCACAACATGTTGCTCACCAGCTGTTTCTTGCCTTTATGCATGCAGTATCATGCTGTAAGCATTCACATCTTTAAATATTCTTATAAAATACACTTTCAATGGCTACTTAGTACACCTTTATGTGGCCATACCATAATATATTTTAATCACTCACGCACAATTACAGAATGTTTTCAGTTGGTTCCAACTTTTTCCTATTTAGGTAACAGAATAAATGCTTGTGTTGCTTTTCCTGTCCTTTTGATGTCTATTTCCTAAAATGTCCTGAAAGTAGAAGTATTGGATAGGAAGTTACGAACATATTTAGGGTTCTTGATACATAAAGCCAGATCACCTTACAAAAAGATGGATTCCTACTCCCATGAGCAATGTATGAAAGCACGTGTTTCATTGTGTTCTAGCCACCTCTGACTCTATTGTTTAAAAACTCTTGGAGCACCTGGGTGGCTCAGTCATTAAACGTCTGCCTTCGGCTCAGGTCATGATCCCAGGGTCCTGGGATTGAGCCCTGCATCAGGCTCCCTGCTCAGCAGGAAGCCTGCTTCTCCCTCTCCCACTCCCCCTGCTTGTGTTCTTGCTCTCGCTATCTCTCTCTCTCTCTGTCAAATAAATAAATAAAATCTTAAAAAAAAAAAAAACAACTCTTTGCCAGTTTCAAAGGAAAAGTGTTCTCATTGATATTTTCATTTGCATTTCTTTAGTGTCCACTGTGGTAGGATTTTCCCATATGTTTATTGATGATTTGAACGTCTGTTTTTTATGAACTGTTCAGATCTGTTGCCAGTTTTCTGGGGTGTTTGTATTTTTCTTACCAATTTGTAAGAGCTCTTTCTATGTTATTATCCACATGTCTGTAAGTATATTGCATTGAAATGCTCTCTTTTGTTATCTGCTTTTTAATTTTGCTTCATTGTTGATGCAACACTCTGGCTCCTGCGTGGAGGCGTAGGGCAATATCTTTGAGGACACTGAAACCCGCTCCCTTGGCACGGACCCTGGTTTCCTGTGGGGGGCACAGGCATCCATGTTGAATTTTTCTGGCCAACCCAGTTGATTTTTTTTTTTTTTTTTTTTTTTGCAAGGAGTTTCATAGCTATTGTATATCAGCAAGCGGCTGGGAAAGAACAACCCAAAGGTGTTGGCTGTTAGCTTGTGGAACATGTCCCTAGAACCCTGTGGTGATTGCTTTGTTGGGTGCTGGAATTCCTGTGACAGCAAATAGGCAAAGCCTGTAAATATGGGTGATTCCAAGAACATGACCCTGAAGATGGGTGAAACTTGGGAAAAAGCAGTCTATGTTTGTAAAGATTCTATGAGGAGTAAGCAGAGTTTCAGGGACGGTATCTCCAAGCAAGAGAGAGCAGAGCAGAAACTACCCATAAAATGTAAATTGCCAATATTCACTGAAGCAGAACTAGGAAATGGAAATAGGAAATCACCAGACACTCTTTGGGGGAGGGGTTAGTTTGCATGTC